TCTTTGAACAGAAACGGTTTTTAGGGGGTTTGGAGAGAGTGTAAGGAGCCTCTGGGACAGCTTCAAGCATACCAACATCAGAATTATAGGGGTGCCAGAAGATTTGGCACCCTTATATGGTGATTATAATAGAATCAGGGACATAGAAAGGGAATGGACTGACTATTCTTGGGGGCGGGAAGGGGTGAGGGGGATGCGGGAAGAGACTGGACAAAATCGTGCACCTATGGATGAGGACAGTGGGTGGGGAGTGAGGGCAGAGGGTCTGGTGGGAACTGGGAGGAGGGGAGTTATGGGGGGAAAAAAGAGGAACAAATGTAATAATCTGAACAATAAAGAATTAATTTTAAAAAATAAAAATCAAGTGAATAAAAAAAAGAAGTAAGTTTGGCTCAAATAAACTCACAGAAATTTAAAAAAAAAAAACACAAAAAAACAAGAATTAAGTACTTACAAAAGGCAGGATAGAGGTTATCTTTTGGGAGAAAAGAGGCAGGTATGGACCCTTGGAGAATGGGCCCATGGGGACTCCTGGCATGTTGCAAATACTCTTTCTTAATGTGGGTGGTGGTTACATGAATGCTCTTGGATATTCTTTAGATGTACATTTATGTCTCATGCTCTTTTCTTGAGAAATACTAAAATGGTTGATATGACCAGACAAAGAAGAACAAAAATGTATGCCTTGGCCAGTGTGGGTAAGTGGTTAGAGCATCAGCCCTCTTACTGAAGGATCCTGGGTTCAATTCCTTATCAATGGTTCTCTCCCAGACCCCGGTTTAGGGTGCATGCAGGAGACCACCAGTGGATGTGAGAGAGACTATCTCTATCTCCCGCCCTCTTTCACTTCCCTTCCCTCCCTCCCTTTCACTCTCTCTGAAAAGCAATGGAAAAAATATCCTCAGGTGAGAATTAACAACAAAAACATAGAGTCATCTTTAAAGGAATGTGTCTATAATGAACCAGTCTCTCCAATTTCATGTCTCTTGTACAACAGGGTTGTAAAGTGAGGGACCACATAGTTGCTCTTCATGATCAAGATGAAGGTGGAAGTTCGCTGTCCTATCCAACTGCTAGAATACTGGAGGATCTGCACAAACACAAAGATGTCATTGTTGTGCCTTTTTCTAAAGATACAGTTAGGTGAGGTAGGGGGTGGGGTGGGGTGGGGTAGGATGGGGTGGGAGAGCAATGCTGTACTGCATATTTATTCAGTGAGTCCATCTCAGAATCCTTTATCCACCTGTGCTTCCCCAATCACTAATATCAGTCCTCAAATAGTTTACAGTATTTCTGAAAGCTTAACTGGAATTACATGTTAGCTTACAATAAGAGCAAGCAGATGTTTATTTGATAGGAAAAGCACTTCAGAATATTGGCGGTCCAGAGGTGGAAAAAGGAGTCCTTGGTGATTGAAAGGTTAGGATCCAATTTTTGAGGTTTTTTTTTCTTTTCCCAAGTTACTTAAGCTCATCCTCAATGCTTGATTGACACAACTGGAAAAATAGTTGATGGTTGAGGTTATCTTTGCATAAATTTGAGCTCCTTGATGTCAGTAATTTCTGAAGTTACTTCCATCATCTTACAACTACAGCAGGCTGTAGGTTGAGGGTAGGAGGACCCTTAAAAAAGGCTGTTCTCAGGCCAGTACCCATTATAGGAGCCCATTTCACCACCTGGCAAGTATGATGCCTGGAGAGCAATAGTGTGATTTCTGTATGGAGTGATTTCTGTAGGGGAATCTCTAGGTGAATAAAGAAATGTAAAAGTTGAAGTGGCATACCTTATACTAAAGAACTATACTTCTAAAGAACAATTTATAAAACACTTGCAATAAACAGATATCATTTGCATTTAAATTCTTTAAAAATTGAACACTCCTCCATTAAATGTCTTTTTCTTCCTAGTGATTTTGGGGTTGGTCCCTATGATGAGAAGGGTCTGGACTGTGATATTTTACTGGAGCCAAATACACCATGGGGCCCCAAAAGTGGGGAGCTCAATGCTGTGAGTAGCTTGTTTCACTTATTCTTTATTTATATAAACAATTGATGACATTTATTTTTGACAGAAACCTGATCAGTTTAAATTGAAGTTGAAATTTTTAGTTATAAGTATTTACTGACTACCTGATCATACCACGGTATTATGCTGAGTTAATAGGATTATAAGGATAATAGGGCACATTCGTTGTCCTCAAAGAATTAATAACTAATCGACTTTAATTTTGGGGAAAAATATAACATGGCCTTCAGGGTTTTTATTATGGGTAAATAATGATTTGATAAATGAAGATAGTATGAATGGTATATTTTGTCCTCTCCTAGTAGTCCTATAAACTTTTTTGTAAGAAATGCTTTTTTTTTAATTGTAATCAGGAGTACATTTAGTTTTTCCAAAATTTCAAAACTGAAATATGACCAGAAAGCTTTGATTCCTGTTGCTAACAGCCAGGAAGTCTCTGTTTGCTGGTGAGCTTCCTGCCTTCCTGTCAGTTGAGGTAGCTTCACTTGAGAAAGTGAAATACTCCCTGTGAAAGAGGTTATAAACTCCAGCTGGCTATAAGTGTTCATTCATTAACATTTATTTCTGAACTGTATACAAAGTAGCAAATTAGATTTCTTGAATATTCATATGTAATCTAGTTCTTTAATTTATAAAAATATAAACATTAAAAAGTGATTGAAATAGTTTAAAAAACTAATATGTCTACATATGATTTACTTGTCTTTTGGAAATTACACTAGGAAATGTCTTTTGGGTTTTTGTTTTTTGTTTTGGTAAACATATACATCTTCTCTACACAGGGGTTATAAAAGATAATAATCTACCATTTTCAGCCTGAATTTAAAATTATATTTCAACCTGAAAGGGAACTATAGTTGTAACTTTTTAAAATTCTTCTACAATATCCATATGAAAATAAGGAGCTGCAACGTGGGTATATGCAGATTTATTAATCTCTTATTCTTTTGTCTTTTTTATAGTTTTTATCACTGAAAAACTGGACTCTGCAACTGGTAAGTAAACAACTATATTCCACTTTCATGATCTCTTTCTTGCTACAGTTTAGTTTAATATAATGTTATCAACATCTTATTTTATAGATTTTAGTTAAACGTTTATCATCTTTTTCAGTGTCTATAATTTTGTACTTTACTAAAAATGTTATTGTTTAAAACAGACACATATTCTATTATCTGGCTGTATAATTTATAAGTCTATTAAATGACTTATTAAAAATTATTTTTATGTCACATTTAGAACACTGAACAAAGTAACAAATCTGTAATTGGAACTTTCTAATTATTTGGTTGTTTGATTAGTTGGTTAGTTGATTTTTTTCTTTTCTACCTGTTTGCCATTACTATGCAAATCTGCCATCAGTATTCACAAAAATGAAGTCAGAATTGGATCAGTGATGACAGACAGTAGGGTGGATAGCTACAGGAAACAGATACGGATGCTTTTAAGTAATCTAGGACCCCGCTGACCCGGAGAATGTGTACATGTGCTTGTTTATGAGACTACTTTAATATTGGCAATTATTATATTTTAATTTATTTTTCAATATATTTTTATTGATTTCAGAGAGGGAGAGGTAGATTGAAACATCAATGATGAGAATCATTGGTCGGCTGCCTCCTGCACGCCCCACTAGGGATCCAGCCCACAACCCAGGCATGTGCCCTTGACCGGAATTGAACCAAGACTCTTCAGCCCACAGGCTGGCGCTCTATCCACTGAACCAAACCAGCCAGGGCTATATTTTAATTTATTCTTAATATCAAGGAACACACATTCAGTTACGTGATGAGATACAATTTCAGCAAATACTGAGTACCTGTGAGGTGCCCATCACTCTGCTAAAATCTGTGAAGGAAATAAAAAAATATTTGATGTAAAGCAATCCTCAATGTTGTGCTAGGCAGTGGTCATTTTATCAGCTCTTGCTTGGCTCATTCATTGAAAATAAATTTAGATAAACGTGTTTGAAAAAATTCATTAGGGATGTGATAAATACTACATTTTTATTAGGATGTATATTGTTTCTTTAATTCAGAAACAACAGTCATTATTTTCAGAAGAGGAAGAATATACCACCGGATCTGAGGTCACTGAAGATGAAGTTGGAGATGAAGAAGAAGTATCCAAGAAACAAAGTACATTGATTTCGAGTTAAAAATCAAGCCTTACTTTTAAAAAAACATTTATTTTTATTTCAGATGTTCTCTTTTGTTCCCCCCAGTAACCCCTTTCCACACCTCAACTTCCTCAGGCCTTCACCGCACTATTGTCTGTGCATATAAGTTCTTTGGTTAATCTATTCTGCCTCCCCCCACTGCCCTCTGAGATTCATTAGTCTATTCCATACTTCTGTGTCTCTGATTCTATTTTATTCATCAGTTTATTTTATTTTATTTTTTTAAAATATATTTTATTGATTTTTTACAGAGAGGAAGGGAGAGAGATAGAGAGCCAGAAACATCGATGAGAGAGAAACACCGATCAGCCGCCTCCTGCACATCTCCCACTGGGGATATGCCCGCAACCCAGGTACATGCCCTTGACCGGAATCGAACCCGGGACCCTTCAGTCTGCAGGCCGACGCTCTATCCACTGAG